GAAATGTTCGGTTTAGAGACAAGTTGATAATTGTGTAGCAGAGGAGAAGATAATGCCATATATTTCAGAGTTTTAGCCGTGAGTGATTAGTTCTTAGGATTGTCAGTCTCATGTATTTTTTCCAAAGTGCCTCAGACACTAGAGGCTCATTACAATTACAATTGTCTTTCAAGAACTACGAGAAGGAAGAAAGGAAAGGCCTTTTTCAAATCTGTAGTGGTTCTTATTTCATTTTCTTAGTGAGCTTGTGTTGAAGAGGGAGTCATTTTCTCTTTTACATTTACACTGCTTTGGGTGTCCAGAGCAATGTTGTTTGCTCAGTTGCTACGAGCATTTGTTCAAATCAAAGGTCAGGACATCAATGATTACTGCTTACCCAAAACATTAACACCCAAACAAAGCTTGGGGCTGAATTTAATTGATGTGTCGAGGGGCTGAGAAGACTTTGGTATATTGGGATTTCATTTCTAAAGAATAACTCTTGAAAAAAAAGTTGAAATTGAACAAAAAAGCGTGCACAAGCAGGAAGTGGAGTGTGGATGAAGGGGTTGGACCACGGACGCCAATCATCCTCAAATCCTCCCTTAGAGCGCAGGACACCTTCAATCTCATTACCTCCGTCAGAACCGGAGTCACTACTTCACGAGCACTTCTGTCTGTTGCCACGGTAACGGGGGAGTCCCTCGTGTTAGTGCGCGAGTGTATTATTGGCGCGTTTGTGTGGCTATAGATGTGTTTGTTTTAAAAACCTTTTGTCGTGCGGAGAGCCTCTTTTGGAAGTGAGTTTAGGACAGACAGTCGTCCACAGTGGGGTCTTTTTTATGAAACACTTCTCATCAAATTAATGAGGCTGCTGTTAGTCTCGGGGTTTGCAGCCTTCACTGTGCCACGGTTCGCTCAAATCAGAGTCCCAAGACAACCTTAGCAGTTGATTACCATCTTCCCAACATGGTAATGTGGATGTAAATGAGGGCTGTAAAGCAACTTTTTTGGTTGTAAACTTTTGTCATTCTGCTCATACAAAGTAATCCTGAACTGATGTGTGATGCACACAGCTGGGCCTGGAGCGCTTGTTGACATTCGGGGATTATGAAGTTTGACAACTGTCTTGTTTCATAATTGAAGGTGTTTTGTCAGTATATTTGAAATGATTAGGTTAGCTCCGTTAGCTAGCTAGCTTGATCTGCAGTAATATCTGAAGGCATCATGTGATCACATAAGCCAATAAAACGTACATGTTAGGTACATTTCGAGTGACGGTATAATTTCTTTGTGTCCCCGTTCCCGTTGTGTTTTGAGTTTATTGCATCGTTTTTTTATCTGCAACGGTTCTAGAAAATGTTGTTGTTTCATCAAGTTGGTAAGTGTTGTCAAGTCGTTGAAGAACTGTCTTAATTTGCATGTGTTTAAGCATATTGGTGTTTTTTATATGCATTGTTTTTTAAACTGCAGCGTGTTTCTCGTAATGGAAGTGTGTTTGTGCCGTTGTAATGCGTTTG